TTACCATACCTTACAAAACTCCAATAAAATCCTTACAAACACTGATACATAGATCGAGAGTTCCAGTAAATGTTGTACCAAGCCTCTTTCTTTACCTCTCACTAAATTATTTATAGCAGTGAAGGGGAAACTTCAGGAGTACTGTACAACAATATATTCGAGAAGTGGTGTGAATCGGATGTGGATTCTTAAAAAACTCTAAGGAATTTTAGACAATTTGAAATCACATAATTTTGCCAAAATCAGTAACATTAATATGTAGTACTTTCAACATTTTATACAATATTCCCCACGGTAATTTAAAGTCCAGGCTTTTTGACATCATAGACAGCTGTTTTTGCAATAAAAATGTCACTCATAAATATACTTACCTTGTCATTGGTCATTTGCAAAATTATTTTGTTAAAAACATTCTGATTGTACACATAAATACCCTGATGTTGATATTAAAAAGATGCTCGAGTTTCTGATTGACAATATCTATGCAGATGTTGGAGATCAGGTCTTCCAATAATCTGTTGGAATTCTCATAGGTACCAATCGCGCCCCTTTATTAGCAGACCTATTTTTGCATTCAACAGAAGCAGAATTTATTCAAAAACTTCTACATGAGAAACATTTGTTGTGGCTTTCAACTCGACATTTCAATATATCGATGATGTATTATCAATTAGCAATAGTTTCTTCCATTCGTATGTAGACTCGATATATCCCAGTGAGCTTGAAATAAGAGATAACAAAATAGAAGGTGTCTTTCAGTTGATTCGACATACGAGAGCATGCTCTACGTATGAATAATTTCTAAATTTTTCACGATCATGACAAGGAGCACACGGCGGGTTTGAACAGTCGGCAGAGAAAGCTCACTCCTCCATGACATCTGATCCCATCTCTGATTTTCTGAAGGTCCGTGTTTGCTCTGCTTTCGATTTGTATTGCTTAAGTGGACTTTGAGCTTGAATACTGTTTGTTATCTCCATATTTCATTTAAAGGAAACATTCATTGACAAAAAACAAAATTCGGTTTACCAAGAATTGACACAAGTAGTATCGTCTTTCCCCTTTCTAGTTACGTTTAATAATTTTTACTAAAAGAAAAAAATTAAATGTTGCCTAATGAAAAAGCTTCTCGGTCTAATTTACATATTATATATTTCCTAAATATGATTGGCAATATTAATACATTTGAAGTTCCGTGTGCAAGAAATATAGAACTGTACAAAAAAAAATCAACACAAGTTAGAATCAAGTACCATGCGAGATTCGTGTCAGCGTTTCGATATTGCCGAGTTTTGAGGGGAGAGGATACATGGTTGTAACCAACTCTTTAAATTTGCTAGTCTATAGATAAAAAAAATTGTCTTCTGTCAATGTATGTCTTTCATATACACAAATTAAGCGTTCTTGTAGTGTGATACCGGGATTAAAGATATAAAACATTTTTAGGAAAAACTTTTTTTTTCTCTCGGCGAAAATATTCCTTAATAGGAGTGAATAGTTTATTTACATAATGCATATGTGCATGGTTATGCAGATTATACATGTATCTATCACGATCAAGGACGGGGGTATATTGCAAGTATTTCTATCGCAGTCAGAGGGCACTATTTGTATTTTTCATGCCCGGGATCTAAGATCAGGGACAAATTGTTTTAGTCTCGTCTGTCTTTTTTTATTATAGTCACTTGACCACAAACTATAACTTTCCTTCAAAGCGTTGATTGATTGATTGTATGTTGTTTTACCTCCTATTTGAGAATTTTCACTCATATAGAGACGTCGCCATATACCGGTAAAGGGCTTCAAAGAGCTAGATTCATTTTATGCTTAAAATGGCCCTCTTCTTGTATTAATTAATTGACTATCACCTTCTGTCCCATTTCATATATCAAAATAAAGTAGAGACTTAGCGCTCTCATTTCCTATAAAAAAATCTTTTTGAGAATTCAGGTGTTGGAAAACAGGTTTTTTGAAAATGCAATGTTCTTGAATTTTGCAGAAAACAGGCATATTTGAATATATTCAGCAAAGAATTAAAATATGAGCACAGCCCTCGATCCAAAATTTGAAATATGTTATATGATATTAAGAAACAGGCCTTTCATTAGGTAAGTGCATATTTTGGATCAGAGGTTGTGCTCTGTATGAAATATTGAAAAAAATACTCCAACTTTTGGCTATTTTGAAAGGAATTTACAGGATATGATAAAATGACGCATTTCATGACGTCATAATGCATTGACTATGGAGAAAGTTACGTCATGTTCAATAGATACACGATCACCACGGGTCCAAGTGATAAATACTGCATTGTCGACCAAAACTGAGCAGTTTCGATTTTTTTTAGAAACTCACAGGACCAAAAACGGCCCTAAGTGCCCTTGCTCTTTAGACGTTTACAAGGCACTCGGTAATGCTATATTAACGTTAAAAACTTCCTTCGAATCAGGGCACCCTGTGTGTTAACAAGATTTTGTTTCTTACCTTTAGTTTTTTTTTTTTTTATATACCGTAAAAGTGAATATCTAAAACTTAACAAAAATGGCAAAATGATATCAAATATCGTAGTATTGATATGATGGACTAGGAATTCATGCATATTTGCTAAGTTATACTGTTTAAAAGAATCTCAGAAGGGGGTTGGGGGTACATCAACCATTCGTCAGGTGCCTTTGAGTTCAAAGTATTGAAAAAAAAGAATTTTTTATGATGCTTGAATTAAAAAGTGACGTTAAGGATTGGGAAGGTACTTTGCTCCTTACCCGACATACATTTAAAAGTTTAACAAAAATTCAGAAGACGCAGTTATCTCTAGGCCTTCGCCGACTCTATCCAGTCCCGGGATTAACGCGTACCACATCTCATTTTTAAAGGTTTTATTATATAAAAAAATAGGAGGTCACATTTCTGTGGGGGTCATTTTTCTACGCGAGTGGTGTCGTAGAATTACCAGTCTGGAAGGGTTTTCTACAATCGATTGACCCTACATGTCGTAGAATATCGACCAGGGGTCATTTTTCTACGTAGAAATTTGACCCCCTTTAAATATTCTACGGTGGACACTTTTCGTCGTTACACAGGCCATACCTCGACAGCTGCCTGATTTTGTGAGATAACCAATCAATCGTTACTAATCAATAGATTATTTGTTCTTAAAGTGATTTGACACTCTTAATTCTTTCGAAAAATCACTCCATTGGCGTCGCCGGTAGGATTTCCAGCGGTCTTTTGGGACCGAAACGGTGCCTAATGGACACCGCGCAGTTTGGCCGCATGTAGTTGACAATATTCTTATTTCATTTCTGTTGAATAAAAAGTAGGAATTATTCGTGAAAATTGTCAGAAATCAATAATTTTGAATATGTCTTTTTTTGAATTGTTTTTCTTTCTGTTGATCTGTGTACTAGGACAGTAGGTCAAATTGTTGTCAGTTAAGCGCTGAATAGGAGTTATGAGTGAAAAGCAATGATCACTTGATCGAGGTAAGGAAAGTCCCGAGCTCATGAGTGGCATGGGTGCCCTAGGGGGCAATGTAGCTTAGCCTGGTGATTTGGCAGGGGCCCAGAGTAGGATGCTAATGCATGAGATGGCTCTCAACCTATCAGTGTGGACCAACTTTTCGGGTTGTTGACTCCATTTAGACCACCAGTATTTAGTACCCTAGGCATTAGAGGGGTTGTGAAAGTATTGTAGTTGGGGAAGTGGATATGTCCCTCTCCCTGGTGAGTAGTGATAGGCCTGTAATAACTACAACCACTGCCATGGGGACAAATGGGGGTGAACAATTCCAGAGTTTGGGAGTTGAATCAAGCAATGATAATGTCATGGTCAGGTATCGGGAGGTAAAAACGCAAATAGCTCAAATATTTTTGGGGATAACAGATTCCTCTGGGGGTTATCACTCCCTGGAATCTAGTTGTAGGGAGGATAGCCCTAATACTACAGTGAGCAGGCACAACACAACCCCCTTAAGTAGCCACACTGGGAGTCCTGGGTCAGGTGTCCTCATTAATGTGACCAGCATACCAAGGATACATGTACATGTACCTGCAGTGGTGTACATGTAGTTTTCTCCCATGGGGGTCAATCTGAGCAGATGAGTGAAAAGCGACAGTGTAGGATTTCTTTTTCAAGTGGGTATGGCGGTAAACCAGTTATACTTTCTCCCAGTCAAGTGTTGGTCAGGGTATACGGATTAGCCATGTCTCAAGCATAAACAGGGTTAGGACACAGTCACACAGGAGTAAGGGTGCAGTGCCTTGGGCAGAACCCCTATATGGTTTTGAAGGTTCATTATTTCCCATGTGTCAGATTACTATATGAAACAGGAGGCATATGCACATACGAGTAGGGAATCCCCCGGGACTCGGAGCCACTAATGTTTTGCCTCGGGACTGATGTATCATAGGGTTCAAACAGGAATTAAGGCTGTGCCAGTTGTCAGTTTGGGAAGACCAGCTGTGGAGCTTGGACCAGAAGACCATGCGGTAGAGAAAATAATTGTCAAGAAACCCCTGGAATACTCTTGGGATCATTTCATAATGTCTCATTAGGGTTTGGGCGTAATATCCCAACAGAGGCTAAGAGCCTAGAGTACACTGTTAGCTTAGAGTTCTATGTTAGCGGTTCTATGCAAAGTTAAGGACTTTGGCTAGATATTATGGGTCGAACAATGATGACAGTCGTTTAGCTCTTAGTGTATCGGTGGAGGGGCCGACATTAAGATATTTCCTTATTCTCTCTTCAAGTGGGGAGGATATGTCTCTTGGCGAAATAGTGTCACGGTTTGAACATCGATTTGGGAAGGGTACACTGAAAGTTGTCTCACAGGTTGAGTTCAACTCCATGACTAAGCAGACCGAGGAGAGTTAAGAGCAGTGGAGTGACCGTGTTTTAAAGACCGCGCAACATGCTCTAGGGGCTAGAGTACTAGAACAAGTGCGGCAGGAGCAGAAAGTTCTGCAAGGATAGAGGTTGACCTGGCTGGGGACGGGGAAAAGATGGTGGTAGGCGTTCTGGGTTCTTTACCCATTGAAATAGGCAGCAATCAGCTCAAGCACCCAGTATATGTTGCACCCCTGCAAGTTGATATGCTTTTGGGCATTGATCTAATACAGGATGATGGGATTAAATTGCCATGTGGAGCTGCTGAATTCAGAGTAGGGGGTTGCAGAACCACTCGCGCTTTTCATAAAGCAAACAAAAGTTCTGTGCAAGCAGTTGCCCCCCAGGAACACTAAAAAGCGAATGAAGTCCGGTGGTAACAATAAAGCATCTTGCACAAGGATGGATGATCAGATCCCAGGCTTCTGGAGGCCAGAGGCAAAAGAGGTGCAAGAATACGAAATGTCACAGTGCAGGGCAGGCAAAAGGGTTCTAATAGACTAAGTAGAGCGTCCATGCCCCTTGCTCTTTGAGCGGGGCCAACCATGTGACTCATATCTGTTGCCATTATTTTTAAGTTAATGTTCAGTGTCCTTCTGGCCCAGATGTCAGACAGTGTCTTATGTTCAGGAGTCCATGAAGGACTCATGCTGGCGTGTTCGCAAATACCGCCTGTAACAGATATAATGGAGGAACCAGAATTTGTGTGGAACTGTTTTAATTTGTTAAGCAAACCATGATTTGGACAGTTAATATTAAAAAGATTTACAATGGATATTTTATCGTGGAATCAATTTTCATTGTAAATCATTGGGGGTTAACTGTCATTATCTTTTGTGTAAAAGCGATGCATACTTTTGTATTGTAAATTGCCTACATCTTGTCAGAGTGGGGGAATTCCTCCACAAACTGGGGGGGGGGGGCATAGAGTATTTATCGACTGACCTAAGTCGATAAAAAATAGGTAGCAACTGTTCCTTCGCCATGCGTTTGGCACTTTGAAGTGAAAGGTCCTTCTGACGAGATCTTAAAAACTGAGGCCCCGTGTCACGTAAGGCGTTTGCACGATAAAGATCACTCACTGTTCAATTGCCCTGAGTGCCGAGTGATGGTCATAATTTGAAGCCCTTCACAGATATATGGTGACTTCTCTGTATGAGTGAAAAATTCTCGAATTGGACGTAAAACAACATACAATCAATCAATTCTGTCAAGGATAAGCAGATAAAAAAAACTTTATGGACTACCTTCTTTTATTTAATGAGAAAAAAAAATGAACTACGTTGCAAAATTCAACATTAAAGAAAGAAATTTCAAAAGTCGGTTCCAGTCATGTCAATCATTTTCTGAGATTTTGTGTCAAACAAACTGATAGAACTGTATTTATGTTTTCCCCACAAATAATCAGGTCAATGATTATAATGATAAAGATACAACAATTGCAGAAGTCGTGGATTGAAACTGTAGCAAAAGATAAATATAATGTTAAATCGAAGAACAGAATCACAGTATCAGATAACCATTATCTAACAGGTGGACTCCACACAAAAATGAAATAAGCTGTTGGTGCTCGTGTTTTTTTGTAAAGAATATCGATGTATGTTATTGTTAAAAAGAAATGGTGCAAACGGAACAGTCTGCAAAATATGCACCAATCATCACAGCACTTTTGACTGAATTATCCATGTTACATTTCAGAACAGTAAAGTAGGTAAAACTGTTAAATCCTGTCTACCTTCTTCAACCTCTGAGAAATGTAGTGTACAATTAATATGTTAATTTTCAATTAGAAGTTAGAAGACAATAACAGTTACAAGAACTCAATATCCACTAACACTAGCTTGGAGTGCAGCTATTCATAAAGTACAGGGTGTTTCACAATATATGTCACACATCTAAAGGCAGAAAGAAAAATTACAACAAAAGCTACATATACATTTTAAATATCATTTTAATCAGCAGATATTCAAAATTATTATTTTAAGTCAGATGTATCCAACATTCTCCATTTCAGTTTCTATGGCAACGATTTCCTAACATGTTATACTGCACGTGTTTTCCTTACCTTTGTCCAAAATATCTTAAGAGACTCTTGTTCAGAAATTTCTTACCACTGCTTCGTACGTTTCACATGATACTTGACAGATTTCCTGTTTATATCTAGCTTTTTAGAACCCCAAAAGTGCATATTTATTTTTTTATTTAAAGACGCATTTAAATAAATGTGTCATTTCAGAACCACTGGTGTGTGCGGACGTCCACTCGTCTCGCTCTTCCTTTCAATCAATTTTGCAAACTTAACCAACTCTGAATGTCAGTTGTTGGCTTTAAATGCTGCAATGCTGAAATCTTGTATGCAGACACACTCAATTCAAATCGAAAATTTCTAAATACACCTAATACACTTACATAGTCCCAATCCATTTCCCTAAACTCAGATCTAACTGACTTTCTTAAGGTTTTCTCAATGATTGACTTCAATTTGACAATGTTCTCAATGGGAAGGGGGGGGGGGGGAGGGGAGGCAGGATTTAACTGTCTCTCATCTTTGCATTATGTTTTTTTTTTTGGGGAGGCAGGATTTAACTGTCTCTCATCTTTGCATTATGTTTTATTCAAACTTCTTAATTAACCTTAATAAATGAAAACTTGAAGAGGGCTTTCTGGTCTGGATATTTTTCTTCACCACACCCTGTACAACATTTAGGATATCGTGCTTATAATAAAAGTTTACAAATTCAATTTTTTGTTGCTAGTTGTACTCCATTTTGAGAACAGCTGAAATTATGACATCACTGATTACATCATCAGTGTACTTCATGGTATTATAATTTTCCCAATATTTTTGCAATATCATAATTTCAGATCAATATGCTTGTCTATGGCATTTTGGTATTTTTGGTATCATGCTTGATATTCAGATTATGCCCATTTAGATGTGTGACATCTATTATGAAACACCCTGAATTGTACAAGGCCAGACACTGGAAAATGTTTGTGTCTCGTCACTGGTGCAAGTTATACTGCAGGACAATTTGGCATTGAGCAGAGCAAAATCATTATGTGGATTACATTTGCAACTATATAACTGCTGACAGAAATGCTTAGATTGAAAAATACATGCCTCCTTTTATGGACATCCTTACCCTTCATCTATCAGTCTTCAACAGTGTCACAAAATATCATCTTTGCACATTTCAATGTAAACTAATATTTGCCACAGCAACACGGCTTGTTTTATGACAAAACCCTTCAACAAGCTGATAAACTTGGCCTTACTGAAACATATACCTACAATATCATTTTGCACAATTATAAATCTTTCACTTTAAACTCTAGACATGGGATGTAGTTTCTTTCATCCAAAAAGACTATATATACTGGAACTCTCTGATATCATAGAAACAATAGTTTTATAGCTACATAAAAATGGAGAAGTTCTTATTGTCATTATACATGTATGCTATGCTTTATAAGGCACAACTCAAATTCTGTTAAACAAGGCCATTTCTTACCTGCTTGAATTCTCATCGTTAGCATAGAGAAATCATCATTATTTGAGATATCAATTTCGACAATGGAAAGCCAATTCATCTGCTTTTCATATTAATACCTTCAAACAGCACATTTCTGAACCCACTCACAAATACGAAGGTTTATTTAACCATTTTTTTGAGAGTTAAATTGTGGTCAAAAACTCTATGTCCGACTTATAGGCGAGTCATAAAAAGATTGGTATTTTTCTGGACGGCTGGATGTAGTATTTCATATTAAACATTTCCGACAATTCTCGTTGAACAAAGTCTGGATAAATGTAATTAATCAGGTATTCTTAGATTATTCACAAAGTACAAGTATTTACATATTTTAACAATTTTATTTATCTAAAGTGTGCATAACTTATTTGTTTAATAATATAAAATTAAATATCAGCGTCATTCCTCAAAATATTAATTGAAACCAGTTTAAACAAAAGCTAAAACTTTAGTATATTGATTTATTGATTTAAAATTGTTAACCGATTCTGGCAAAAAGTTTTACAGACTAATAAGCAGATCAATGATAAATCCCTCCAATATACCCTTAAAAATACAACCGACTTATAGGCGAGTATATATGGTAATTAATGCTTTGTGATAGGATATAATTGATAAATTAGGATTAAAAAAAATTAAGTCCAATGAAAATTAATTGGGGATCTTATATATATCTTATATCAACCTTTCTTTAAAATATTACATTTCGCGTGATGGATTTTAAAATCAATCTTTTCAAATTGAAAGAGAGAACAAAACAGGAAAAGTAGCATCAAATTTTTAAGGTCTTATTTGAATTTTTCTAACATTTCTTTAGTTTTAGCAATTAAACACAAAATGAAGATAAGATATTAACAAATGCCTATTTTTTATTAGAGGAACTATGCAGAAGTTCCCGTGCATTGTGTACAGCAAGACAAAGCTCTAACCATGGGGTCTTGACTGCAGATAAAGTCATAGACGGAAATATGCATCAGAATTTTAGAAATTGTGCACATACAGCCGATGGTCACTCTCGAGCATGGGTTCAAGTGGATTTGGGCAACATATATCATTTGAAAGACATCATAATCTACTACAGGACTGAAGGTATCTTGTTTTATTAAGGAGATTCCTCTTTTAAACATAAAAATAATTATGAAACTAATTAAGCTTTGAATTAAGAAATGCTAAGAAATACGAAGGAATATATATATATATATATATATCTCGTCGCTTACCGGTTTTTGGTTTTGATAATAAGCAGCGATTTGAAAATAAGACGGTTTTGAAAATAAGCCCCCATTTTCTTACCAAAACTTAAAATAAGCCGCGGCTTATTTTCAAGGTTTTAGGGTATATATATATATATATATATATATATATATATATATATATATATATATATATATATATATATATATATATATATATATATATATATATATATATATATATATATAATATGAAAAATGATACTAAAAGAAGAGATTCCCATTGTTTTTTGCAAAAATACAATTCTGGACGAAAAAAGGATGGAAATGATTTTTAAAAAAAAACGTTACACATACATCATGGAAATAAAAATATTGCAATGATATATTCTACGAATAAACTTAATTTACAGGTAATTAATAAACTATGAAACTCACGAACATCGAACCACACGAAGCAATAAACTAGAATCAAGTCAAATGATTTTAGGTACGTGGCTGATGGGAGCCACTTTGTTTGAAATACATGTAATATCCTTTTTTATATAAATTTGGTTTTTAATTTTGTAATTTCAATATTTATTTTGAAATTCTGTTTTTGTTTAATCTTGTAATTCATTTTTTAAATCTAGTTTTTGTTTGCGTTATTAAGCTTAGCTTATATATAAAAATTTCTTAAAGAACCTTTTCCATTTATTGTATTTGAAAAAAAAATTGGTCACAGAGTTGACTTTTTTTCTTTGTACTTCGTTATCTTATGCTTTAGAAAGAATAAAAGATCTCAACATAAACAGTTCTTTTTAATTTTCTTTTTTTAATGCAAAACGTTCTGTAAATGTTTTAAACCTTTAACTTTAAATTGTCTACCTTTGGAAATTTCTGTAATGCTACAAAAATTATTAAAAGCAAAGTGCCTTTTTCAGAAATATGGAAACCCTACAGATTTCGGCAATTCCATTTAGATGTTTTCAATATTTCTGAGGCTTTTGACAGGATCCGTTGTTACACAGATAATACGTCGTTCCCAGCTGTGCCTCAAAGTATACAGTATATCACCTGTAATAAATTTGCAAGGTTTGTCAGGATTGAAACGGAGTATGATGCCCCTGAAGATGAAATTAGGGGTGCTATTCTGGAAGTGTGTGAAATCAAAGTTTATGGTGAGTTTCCCAGTTTTTATGCAAAATCGGATGCAAAAGGACATATCTTATGTGAATATAAATTATCGCCTTATAAATGTTGTGCGTATATTTCTATTACAACGATCAATATGTGAATTTAACTCTCTTAAAAGTTTCAGATTTCTTTATTATTGACTTTATTCATCATGAAATCCATGTAAACTAAATCCTTATCAAAATTTTTAAATAAAAGTGTTAATTAAAGTTCCATAATTTTCGCATCCAAAAAAGAATTGATTTTGACTTGAAAGTAAAACACTCCAACATATATTACTTATAGATGATTATTTTAGACGTACATTTCTCCATATGGGATTAACTTATGCTATGTACGCAGTCGCAAATTTTCCTGGAAAAATGTCACAGCGTACTTTGGTTCATTTAAGTCATTAAGAGGCAAAAAGCAAACCGAGTAAGTTTCTATCTGCAGCTTGAAAGTGTGACCCTATGCAATTGTGAGATTATTGGAGAAAAGTCCATCCAAATTATATTTTAAAAAAGTAGACTCATATTGCATAGATTGTTCGTTTATTCCTTTTTTGCAAAAGTACTTTATGAGTATGAACCGGAAATTTAGTTTTAATGCCTTAAGACAGTTTTTATAAAGTATGTTCTTTGTTAAACTGCAAATCAGCATCCATAGACCTAGAGGAAAAGATTTTTTGACTGATAAGTTAACTTGTAAATTCAATTTCATCTATCTGACAATCAAACTATATAAAAGTGTTTCACATATTACAGACCGATCAATGAGAGTAAATTTATATTGAGAATCTCTTTTCAAATAAAATCTAGGCTTTTCTTTATAGGCTGTGATGCCCAGCCATGGTCAAACTGTATACCATGTGGAGATTGTCAACACTGTAATCCTGGGTGTGGTAAATTAATTTTGGTACACATAATAAAATGCAGATGTATTGTGTTTATTTTAATAAATCAATCGATCAATCTATCAAAGTGAACACCGATTAAATAGCACTCATAACACAAAAGTAATTTCTGTAAACATGCAATTCACTTTCAAAATTGATGTAATTGAGGTTAAATGAATGAGTTAACATGGACTTAATAGCAATCAAGCCAAAAAATGTTCAAGACTTTATTCACAACGACAGTAACTGTTACTGTATTGTATATCTAAATTTCATATTATCAAAATTAATCCTTGCAAAAACTTTTTTCCCTGGCAGAATTGTCTGATTAGTCTGCTTGAGTACTTTCCTGAATATAATTTGCAGTCACAAATGTCATTTTAGATTATTTCCTAGGATAAGGAATTAAAGATATAATCGGGAATCGGGAAAAAAAAATCATCGGAAATATCAGATACCGTAAAATAAAAAAAGGACGAATAAAAGAAATGGTTTCAAACACAAGATTTTTCTTACGATAACTCAAATATTGTTTTAAGTTTAATCTTCCACTTTTTGCGATAAACAAGAAATTGAAAATAAAAATGCTAAAGAAACCGAGGAGATAAGCCGAGTCATCTTCCTATATAACAACGAATGAAACGTCAATAAATTTATTTTTAGAACATTCCACTTTGTGTTAAATTAAGGTAATATTTATGCGCCGGTTTTGAGATGGACTACTCCCCCCCCCCCCCCCCCCCCCCCCCCGAAAATTGTAGAGTTATTTAAAGTAATAAACTGAAGCAATTTTTGTTTTGATTATGATGAACACAGCAAAACGGGAACACGCTTTTAATTTCTCAAAATAATAATAATAATAATAATAATAACTTGGATGCTATAAATACATCTTTTAGTAGAGTTGATCATAGCTCTATTATTATTATTATTATTATTTTTTTTTTTTTTTTTTTTTTTTTTTTTGAAGAACAAATATTGAAAAACAATGGAAATATGTTTCTTTTTACACCTTCAAAAAGGTGGTACAAAGACCCACTCTACATAAGCAAAATTAAAATTACTTGCTTAAATTTTCACAATGGTCTTAAAAAAATCCAAATACGCTTGGTAAATACATGTACCAAGAAGTGTTTGCTATTCAAATACGACTGCGTGGTCTAGTTGTCAGAGAGGAGCTGCTTAAGGACAGTTGATACAAACAAACGTTTTTCAAAAAAATTAAAAATAACAACTTTAGCCATGTTTGTATAAGAGAATAGAATAAGGTTGACTGCATAGATTCTATTTTTTTATTCAAAGTTTCATAATAATGTGAATTTTAAGTGAAAATAAACTGTAATACATTAATAAGGAGGGTTGCAGAAAGGTAGAATTTTGAACATCATAGAAAGTTTACAAATTTTTAATATTTTAGAAATTTATTATTTGCATCCTATACAATCAAAATAAGTCCAAAAATGTATACCAATCCAGGCAACATTTTTTTTGTTTGCATCATCTGTCCTTAAACAGACGTTTATTTAGCAAGTGTTGGAATCATGCTATGATATTTTATTCATTTATTTATTTTTTGCTTCAGTTCAACTTCATAATTGAGTTGTACATGTACTGTTTCTATAGGAATCAAACATTTTCACAGGAAATAAAATATATTAATGTAATTATGAACCCATATACAGTAAATTATTCAAAAAGTGGGTAAAAATTGTAATAAACATTAATTTAAAGTGAATTCCCGCTTTTATTTAATTTTACTACAAGCACTTCGAAACCAAAGCATACCATGGTAACTATACAGTTCATTGATAATATTGACACAAAACATGCTAACAATCAATGTACAAATTACAGAGTAGAAGTCACTATTCCCATGTTAGATATTATGTGGCAGAAAAAGGTCTTGTGTATAGCTTGACAATGTTAAGAATTTGGAAAAATAACATAGTGCACGTTTAAATGCTTGGTAAATCCATGCAACTGAGATAATCCCAATAAATTTTACATGTACATTGTACGCACATGCATATCTGCAAATCGGGCATGGGAATCTGACTCGTCTACGAAGCACAGTTAAGGCTACAAAAATGAATTTACTGGAAATGTTAAAGTATGACATCACACAAATCTACAAATAGTTTAAAATACCACAAGATGAAATGATTTGCGATTCTAATTCATGCGAGAGAATTATTTTACATTAAAACTTACAATAAAATGCTGTTTCGTCTTTAGTTATATCACCCAAACTCAATAAATTGGTGCAATTACGTCAATTTGATATAAAGGTGTCTTGTTGATAATGTTTTGCTGAGAAACATACATATCACATAATAGTTTTCCTTTAAGATTTTAGGATGAATTAATATAGATTTAAATAAATCCTCAATGTCAAAAGCAAATAAATCTATTTACTTTCGTGATAAGACAAAAAAGGTCAAATGAAAAAAAAAGTGTATTTTATAAATTGATGCAGTCAAATCGTTGTATTATATTTTTTTTTCTTCAAATGAATTTGACATATCTCTAAAATTTTATATTTAAAATATGCCACAAGAAAAATCAAAACTGCCCAGCGCAAATGGCGGTTCTAAATAAATAGAGGATCCATTTATAGAAATGCTAAATAAAATGTTGTTCATGAATTGTGATCATGTTCCTATTTATACTTTAAATGCAACAACGTTCTTATGTAACGAATGTTTCATGAAAGTAATATTTACTGTTTTTAAGATTAATTCTAACAAAATGGACCAATTCATGAGATGTAATCTCTGCCCTATTTGTGCCATGGTATTGAAAATGTAAAAAAAAACCATAATTTGAACTGCATCATATATATCATCGTGTCATATTTTCCTTGAACTGTACTATATGTACAAATGGATAAGAGGTATATATAAAATTGTCTGGATAGACGAGTCAACAGAACCTAAAATAATGTAAATAACAATTTTTCTGATGACTTTTAGCTTGAAATCATTTAACCGTCAATGGAAACTTCCTTCGTATTTCTGCATGGGTCAATGCCATAGTTCAACTAAAATAAATGCTGAAACGTACGTTATTTAACATAAAATGCTAGTTTAACAGTATCAAAATTATAAGAGAGAAACAGAAAACCTGATGTAGATTCAGAATAGAAACTCAAGCATTTGTTTAATCAATATCATATGATTAAAACTAAAGCTGTCTTTCAAAATAATTTCAATTAATGTTTTTCTTCAGAATTAATGTTTTTGTTCAATAATGCGTCTCAAGAATCAGTTTATAATAAAATATATGCAACTTAAGCTTAAAATGATACAAATCAATCAATAGAGTTTACATTCGAACAATTAATCATGAAAGAAATTCTGTAAATATTGTTGCAATATTCATATATGATTTGTTAAAAATTTCGTAACATTCGTTACCTTCGGTAACGAATGTTTCAACACCTTTCAAGACTAATATAGGACATTCAGGTGTAGATTGAAACTGGTTAATACGTAGTTGTTGTCGGTCGTTATATATATTTATTTACAGTTACATACTAATTCATTCCATTTGATTCATTGTTATTGCATTCTAGAAAACAAACTCACCAACACTGTCTAGACTTAAGAATAAAATCGTAAAAAGGCAGTACCGTACTCCGGATGTCAAAATTTGAATACTGGCGCAACATATTTGACCACGTATATGTGCAAAAGATTTTGAACTCATAAATCTCTCTTTTTTAAGAGGTTTGGTAACGAATGTTTCGGTAACGGTTGTTTCATTTAATCATTTTCTCTTATATAGTAAGCTAACAATAAGACATTGTTAAATCATGTTTGGAGCATGGAATACAGTTCTTGGATAGAAGAAAAAGTATCACATGCTTAGCCATGATATCTTTCATTTCATCTATTAAACTAATACAACAAATGTTTCATGCCTATCCATACGCATGTGAAATAGGAAGATAGAATGTAATTTCAAAGTATTGGTAACATATACAAAGCTTTGTACCATTTATTTTTAATTTTCAAGAAGTATTTCAATCTTACAGGCATACAATACCGGTTACTCATACTATATTTAATGTCACATTCCGTTTTTATTCTGTTTCTGGCGATACGG